CACCCTAAATTTTCCGAACGGACGGACCGTACAAGGTATGAGTCATACTTGACATTGAGGGACGGACGGACCGCTCGCGCGGCGCGGCCGTCCCCGTCCCGCACTCCGCACCCGTCCGAGCAGTGCACGTCTCTGGTGTATGACTCGTTAAATGTGTACATATATATATATATATGCCTGTATTGCAAAGCACGATAACATATATTCATTATCGATGTTAAGGTAATAAACTTGTTATGGCATATTTGGTTCTTCTAATCATTGTCGTTCATTTTACTTATTGAAACATTACTGAATAATTTTCTTCTTAAATTCATCGATATTTATTTTACCCATTAAAACATCGCTGTACATATTTTCTGTTTAATCGTTGTCGCTCAATTATTACTGTATATTTTTTTTGCTTAATCATTGTTGTTCGTTTCACTCTGAACTATTGTTGTATATTTTTCTTGTTTGATCATTGTTGTTTAACTATTCTTGTAATTTGTTTTTGCTTAATCATTTTTGTCTAACTGTTGTTGCATTTTTTTTGTTTAATCATCGTTCTTGTTAAAATACTTTGAAGTAAAAGTTTTTGCGCCATGTCATTTCACGAACGTTGCTGTCTATGCTAAGTTCTTATAAAAAATAAACGTACCTACAATTTAATTGAATTTCAATCTTTGTTTGACAATATTAATGCATTATATGAACTACTTCATTATCGGTCTCTTAAAAATCATAGTAAAATATGTAATGCATGTTATCAAAAGCATTCAAAATGATTAAAGCTATCTAATAAACCGTTGTTGTCTTCCGAACAATTTTCAAGAATTGAGTCAATGGATGTTGATTTCAAAGCTGATAACACAACACAAACTGAAGAAAAAGTTTTCTACAGCAGAGGTATTACCTGTTCTTTACTGATTCCTGATACTATTCGATTACCCATATATGCTCCACCAATTTCACATAAATACTGTTCGATCTGTCAAAAAAAATTTCATAGGCTTTCATATATAGAAATTACAGATGATATTCGATTTCATGCGTTGTTGAATAATATGATTTACTTTAAATCAGAGTCTCGTTGTTGTATAGGTCATGTTACACAACAAAAATTATCATCGAACGCCATTCTACTGACCAAGGAGAACTATAAAACAGTCAGTGTTGTCTCTACAGATATTTTAAAATTAATGCTTGACGATATCAGGCCAGATTGGAGACGTAATAAGGCATTACAAGCGAAATCTGTACCAATCGACTATAATCAATCTCTACGATATACAGATCATGATTATTGGACTCCAATAGGAATTAATAAGAACGATTTTGAAAGCATTTATAATCAAATTTGTATGCGAAATACTCTCAATCGTTCCATTCAAATGGCAGTTGGCTGTCTTCTAACAAAACTCAGATTGGGTCCGAGTAATGATGTTTTAGCAACTCTTTTCTCATTTAGTAGCAAACGTATTGTTGGAAAGGTTATAGAAAGTGCTCGGCAATCATTAGTTAAGCATTTCGTACCTAAGTACCTGGGTTTTCAACATATCTGTCGAGAGATAACAATCCAAAATCATCCAAGAACATTGGCTAAATATCTTCTCACTGGCGGTAGAAATTCAGCCGTTCTTATTTTATATGGAACCTATCTATATAGTCAAAAGAGTGCGTGTAATCTACTACAACGTAGATTGTTCAGCATGCATAAATCACGTCCACTCATAAAACCTACGATGTATGTTGCTACAGATGGGTACATATGTTGTACTATTGGCCCATATTTTACTGATTGGCAGAATAATGATGCTAATATTATGCAGCATATTCTTCATACTAATGAGAAGGAAATATTAAGTTGGCTTAAGTAGGAAGATACTTTCGTAGTAGCTCGTGGTTTTCGAGATGTTCTCGACTACATACGATCTCTTGGCTTCAGTGTATATATGCCATCTTTTCTCTCAAGAAGTGAAAAAAAAGTACACTACATCTGAAGCGAATCAAAATAGATTTATAACGAAGATTCGCTGGGTCATATAAACCGTAAATGGTAGAGTGAAATAGTTCAAATATTTTGATAAGATCAAACCGCACTCTTCTCTGCCATATACTCACGACTACTTACGAGTTGTTTGTGCAATTCTTAATACTTTTCGTCCACCATTAGTTCATGATACTAACAATGATGGTGAGGTTGCTCGAGTAATGCCCAAACGACAGCATAAGAAAAATGTGCTTGAGAAAAAGGTTGACGATAAAGAATTCCAAAAGATGAAAAAATGGGAGAGAATATAGGGTGCTCAAGCAGCGCCTGATTTTCCCATACTCACACAAACACAATTGCAAGAATTAACGCTTGGCGTTTTCCAACTTAAACAAGCTAAAAGTTATACTAATTAGCACATCAGTGAGGATGGATCATACGAAATTTTGATCTCGGCACGAACAGATGGCTTATTGAAAGCAAAAATTCAATCAAGATATTCGAATAGAAAGGTATACAATTCCATCGTTCAATATGAAGATCGTAACGTTCTCGAATGGTCTTGTCAATGCCCCTATGGAAACGTTACGATCGGCATATGTAGCCATGTAGCGTCAATTCTTTGGTACTTAGGTTTGGCACGTTATGATGCCTCAAAAATGAAGCAGCTCTCGAGCAACTACTTTGAGTTTTTCAAAGATGCATCATCTATACTTTTAGATAACGATGCTGAGGTTGATGAGGATGAGGATGATGGCAACGAGGATAATGATGACAATGATAATGAGGATGAAGATGATCATGATCATGATCAGACAGACAGTTGAAGATGATACAAGGTATGACCATAACGAAATAATAGTGATTTTCGAAAAGTATGAAATTGACGCACCGATTTTTTTGCTTTTTAAATATTACAGATCGATAGAGCATGAAAAATTACATATACTCAAAAAAATCGGTCTTGCTTCTAGTCTCCTTGACGAAGAAACAGGGGGCCCAAAATTGCATAGGAGATAAAAAGAGCAAATTTGGACCCCCTGATCTCAAAGTATCCGACGAAATGTTTGTTCGCAAGCAATTTTTCGTTCATTTCTACATGGATGATGACGATTTACATATAAAGAGTAAATTTTTTGCATAGATCCCAAGGATCAATTGATCGATTGGTAGGACTAAAAGCTTCAGTTTTAGCTGTACGGTTCATATCAAAATATTAAAGATTTTTAACTAACAAAGCAATTATGGGCCTTCTAACATTGATGTTTGTAATCAGCGCCCTTCATTCTATAATTAAGAATAGATTTTATTTGAAAAACAAAAACAAAAACAAAATTTTTCGAGCTCCCTGGGAGGTACCACAGATCCCAAACATTTTTTTTTAATTGTTTGCAAAAGAACCCCTAAAATGTGATTAGAATTCATACCTAACTTAATTGCAATAAAAATAACTCGATTCCATTGGGAGCAGAAAAATGGCCTTATTGGCCCTAGTCCTTTCTGTATTAAATTGTTTTGGTGATTTATTTCAATCATATAAGTTTTTCAAAATCATCGTAAGGATATAAAAAACCTACAAATGTACATTTGAACACTGCTATTTTTATATTATAGGTATAGTCCAATATATCGCGATACATACATATTGGAATTCTCCCTTCGATGATGTTAGGACATTCCAATTGGTATTGTCCCACATTCTATTGTAGTACACGTATATGACTTTGTCCTTTTCTGTCATATGCGTATGGGTTTATTCCTTATCGTGATCCTATATGTATTTGTGTGTTTATCGTTCCCTCTCCTTCTCTCTATTCTTGTTGCTCTCCGTCTCTCTGTTCTTATTCTTCTGTTCTTCTATTGTCCCACAATAAACATGACACTCACATTTTCCACAAGATCTACATATAGTATGAATAATACATACAAATCAAACTTAAAAAGAATTATAGATCTTTTACTCTCTGATGAAAATGAAGATGATTACATTACCAGTCAAGATTCGGATTTGGAGAATGACTATGATTTCGTTCCTGTTGAATCCGATGATACATCAACAAACGAACATATATTAGAAGAGTCGGATAAATCAAATTCTGATGATGATCAAACTGATACTTACACAGATGATCAACCAGAAATATTAGAAATAGCCGGTATTAGATGGTCAATACGTGCAAATCTGAAACAAGGTCGAATACCGGCTGCTAATGTAATAAAAAAAAGACCGGGTTCAACAACCAAGGTTCAAACGATTTTGGATTCATTTAAACTTTTCTTGACAAATGAAATCCTCGATGAAATTGTTCTTCAGACAAATCATTATGCAGAACAATATGTTGATTAAAACAAGAGATCAAAACCAGATTCTAATGCTGCAAAAATTAAATCAAGTAGATGGAAACCGATAGATCGTGTCGATTTAGAATCATTTTTGGGGTTATTAATGCTATCTGGTGTACATCGAAACAACCATGAATCACTTAGTGATTTATGGGATATAAGTCAAAGCTGTCATTTATACAAAGCTACGATGTCTCTTCAACGTTTTAGGCAGTTTCCTCAGTTTATTCGATTTGATAATCAATATATACGTGATAAAACTGATTGCTTGTCGTCGATCAGACATATATTTCAACTTTTTATCAAACAATTTCCTCAGCATTTTGTACCCGGTGAAAATTTAACAGTTGATGAACAGTTAGTGCCCTTTAGAGGTCGGTGTTGTTTCGTACAATATATGCCAAAAAAACCGGCTAAGTATGGGCTAAAGTTTTGGTTATTGTGTGATGTGGATAGCCAACATGTATTATCAATTGATCTATTTACTGGAAAAAAAGGCAATATTATTCAGAAAACTCATACGCGTAATGTTGTTCTTCATTTAATTGATCAATTACCGAATGATGTGAAATAAGGTCGCACCGTTACATATAATCGTTATTTCACGGATATCAAATTATCGGAAACCTGTTTGGATCGCAAAATGACGTCTATTGATTTAGTCGATTACCAACGTGCTTTTTTACCTAATGAATTAAAAGTATATCGGAAGAAACTATTTTCATCGTGGTTTTATTTTTCAAGTTCCCACATGCTTTTATCATACTAAGCAAAAGAAAAAAAGAAGTCGATCATACTTTTATCTTCTTTACATACATGAGCCGAAACTTTTGCTGATGATAAATAATTACCGTGTGTTATTCATGACTACAACCAAACAAAATATTGTGTTGATGTTGTGAATCAATGCGTTGGAACTTATACCATACAACGAATTACTCGGAGATGGCCGCTAATGGTCTTTTATAACATGATTGCCATTGTTGCATCAATGGTATGACTATATGGTTATCTCAAAATCCTGAATGAAATAAGAGAAAAACAGATACTCGTCGTATGTTCTTATCACACTCCAGTAGCATCACAATTGTAACCTGCCGAACATGCGAAAAAAGAATTAGACAAGAATTATGAGTTCCTCAGAAATTGTCAAATAACAACAACTTGATCAATATGATAGAGACTCTTCCGTTTGAAAGTTTGTTGGTCATGCAAAAAAAGAAAAAGATAAAAATAAATATCATGAAAACTAATCTGTTTTCTTTTTATTTACAGACAATTGTACATGCAAACATAGGGGTATTTGCGGCGTAGACCGAATATATTGGATGTATACTTCTTTTATTTGCATTTCCATGCTGCCATGAAACTAATATGAGTTAATCGTTTCTTCACATCATACATTCTTATGTGGCCTTTATGAGAACTAATAAATAAGTCTATATAGAGAAGAGTATTTGGAGACCTATGGTATATAATAGAATATCTTACATAGAGCAAAATCATAATTTTTTTAGTTTTATTGAATGGGTCCATACGAACCCCAGCACACTGTTGAAGTTATGAAATGAGGACGATAACGGAGGGTTAAATATAAGTCATATTTTACTTGTTGTATTGTTGCCTTTGTTCGTACAGTACATATTCCACTAGGTGGTTTTGGTAAATTGATCGATCCACTTTCATCAATCATTTTGCACCATTGTTGAATCGTATGCAATCCCAATCCTCCGTTTAAATCACGAAAGATTTTTCGTGGATGATCACCATCATTGTATTTAGAACGTACAATTTTTTGAAGGTCTTTGCTTTTTATTATCTGAAATTGCCTTCTGAAAAGAAAACAAAGATAAGATAACTATCATTTCGTAGAGAATTTCGCGGCGCTTCTTCTGGCTAAACAGCTGCAAAAAGACCGATCAAAATAAGTGGGAAAAAACTGCACATAAAAAGTGACCTACTTTCCCTGGATCACCCAATAGATATCTTCCTACTGTTCTTTCCTTTCTGTCTAATGTATATTTCTAGCGTTCTTTCGTTTTTTTCCAAAGAGGAGATATTGACTCATTGGGATATCCCTATGAATGTTGGATATAAATAGGTGGGAAGTTTTGCTGTTAAGATCATTCAATATCTGGTTAAGAATAAACTGCATTCTGAATAGAGAATTGATTTGTGTGTTAACATGTCCACCCATTACCCCAGTTATCATTGACTAATGTATGTTTTTCAGCAAGAAATAGATATTTTCCCACATTCTATTGCGAACAGAAAAATCTTCCTCGTTCTTTGTCTGTTTGTATATCGATGATGACACCAGGGAAAGTCTCAGCATCAGATGACTCATGTATTCCGTTTTTCGTTTTTGTCAGTGCGTTTATGTATATATTATTCCATCAATGTGTCTGTGTTTTTTATTATTTATTTAATAAAATGTTGACCTTAAATAAGTTTCGTCTTGGCAAGAGCAAATATTCAAATGTTTGTAAATGGTTGACCGTGTACTATCTAAAACAAAGACTAACCATTCGAACATTCAGAAAATTTTCATTCTTATCTTATCAACAACAAGACAAACCAACAAAGAAAACACTAAATGAAAATTTTAATCCCTATCCTTCAAATTCATGGGATTTCATTGTTCCGAATCAATTAAAAGAAATGTTTACTTTTGCTGAATATTCGTCAAATGGAATCATAAATAATCTTAATTTTTATCATAAATTTATCGCACCTTATCTTGGTCCAGAACCTTGTTCACCAAAAGCAGAATGGAAATCGTATATAAATGATGATTATTCTCCAATTGAAATGACATATTCATTCAAAACAAATGATAAACATCCAACAGTTAAATGCATATTTGAACCAATCGAAAAAAATCAATACAATGGGCAATTATCAAATATTTCGGCTTCATTGAAATTTCTTGCAGCAATGAAATTTGCTAAATTGCCAATTAATTATGATATTCTATTATTGTTAATAGAATCATTTTGTATTGAAAATTTTCATCAAGACAATTATCATTTATGCTTTGGATTTGATTTTCAAGATAATGAAAGTGATTATCCGCTGATAAAAGCGTATGTTGGATCTAATTCTGATCGTTCACCAGGTTCAGTGCCAATGCATCATCATGTTTCCAAAATAATGAACTTATTAAAACTTAATAAAGCATGGAAATGTGTTTGCGACTATTTGAAAATTTTAACAAATGATAATTGTCCTTCAGATATTGATTGTTTTTCAGTTGATTGTCTAGACAATAACGACGACAATTTGAGAATTAAAGTCTATATTCGATATTTTACTTGTGAAAAGAATGATCTCATTCAACATTTAACATTAAATAATCGTTTATCAAATACAAATATTGATTTTAATTATGTTTTAAAACAATGGGATTATTTCTTAAATAATAAGAAAATTTCATGTTTGAATGATAATAATGTGACGAAATCATTTTTAGTCTATTATGAATTCAATCAATCGAAACCAGATTGTCCTATTTCGGCCAAATTTTATTTTCCGATCCGACATTATATTGAAAATGATCAATTTCTCACATATAAAATTGCCAAATATTTAAATGGTATTGGATTTGAAAAATATGGTGGAATGAATTATATAAATCATATCAACAATCTATGTAAACATCGTCCATTAGATAAAAGAACTGGATTTCATCGACTAACGGCAGGTTCATTATCAAAAGAAAATCTCGAATTTAAGTTATATTATTCACCAGAATTATATGCAGCAGAACGATTTGAATTCTTTTCAACATCACGATGAATAGATATTCGTTCATTAATTTCACATTTTTAACTTCAAATTTTTCTAATCAATAAAAACAAGACATGTTCACTGACTGATAACAGTCGAACTGATGAGAAACTTCGTTTTATGTCTTCTTTTCTGCATGAAACTAACTAAGGATTAATACTAACGAGAGAAGGTTCCTGACTGTATGCCACAGTTTCTTCATAAAAAGTACATGGGTTTGTCAATTCAAGTGTTCTGATCGCAAATCTGAAAAGATTATCTGCTGAGATCGCTTCACGAAAAACTTATAGCAAAAACATTTTTGCGTAAAACGCCCATAACTCATCAAGAGAAGACCGGAAAACCATACCCAACTAGTCAACAAAGACCGATCGAATAACAATAGTCTCACGCGAAAAGCGATTGGACAGTTGGGGATGTGCCCTCGTAAGTGAATATTTTTATTAATTGCGTGTGCAATGTCTTTTTCAGTTGAAATATGAATTAGACGTTGTTATTACAGCTCGATAACTGATAAAAACAAGCTGATAAACCATAAGCCACTAACTATTTAACGGTAAAATATTCAAGTTTCTAATCACTTCTAAAAAAACCAACTTATTAAAGGGAAGTCGAAATGTTGAAATACATTGCTAAAGTTTCCATCGGCGATACACCTCTCTCTTGTGAAGATATACTTTTTGTGTACTCAAAAAGTGAGTACACTCTAGAATCAGTCAGTGTGTCCGTCCGTCCGTTTACATGATAACTTTTGAAAGGAGAGTTCAATCACGACGAAATTTTCTACACAGTTCAGTCTTAACAATGTCTCGGTCGAGTTCGAAGATGGGTAGAATTGGCCAAACCATACCTGAGTTATTTCAAAAATACTCATTTTTCCGTATGGCTTTCTATGCGAAAATCGATCCATCCCCGCTTTCGTAAAAAACTTTTTCTATCATACTCAAACAAAACTCCAACTATTATATACCATTCGATAGAGAATTTTACGAGCTACCAAATGGTATATAAGACATAAAGAAATAAGAAGACTATCTCACCTATTGCAAAGATAAATAAACGGAAATTGGTTGCTCTTGTCCACGCTCTAACTGTTCCACAATTAGAGCACTATCTTCCGATATACAAATTAACTTGGTAAATCTTTTCTATAA